AAAAAAAAAAAAAAAAAGGAAAATCCTTTCTGCACTTGTGAGCCAATTGTAGGAGCAGAAAAGAAAATAGTTTCTGCCTTCACCATCCCAAAAATGAAGCTCCTATTTCACCCAAGACGGAGTTAAGAAATTGAGAAGGAACATATTGAGATCTTTATTACTCTGTGTAGTACAATACAATGCATGGAAGTCATTACTGAAATATGAGACGATGATCTATAAATAAATCATTGAGTTAGACCAAAGATCTTTTATTCAACCCATTTACAGGAATAATTTTGAAATATACATGAATTAAACAATTACATATATACAAGCACAAATAAAGTAAGATAGGCAAGATTAATCTTTACGGCTATCCAGTGTAACAAACTTTGGTCAGCAACAGCGTATTGAATTATTGAGCACGCAATTACCTCGATGTCACACAATCACCCAGAATAACATAGTTTGATGGAGCTCGAGGCCTCCAAAAGGTCAGATTACTAAGACGTCCATTCTCTGTGAACAAGGGTGCAGAAAGATATGTTTACTCAGAAATTTGTTGTAGAGGGGGAGGGAAAATTGAAAGCCACAGTAGGGCCATACATGCACACACATTTTAAAAGTTACTCAGAGAAGACAAAAATACCTTTCGGGGACACCCATATACGGTCAAAATTTGTACAAGGAGACAGGGGGTCAGCATTTCCAAATTGTAGGGCTGAAGATGCCTGACTTTGAAGATTAAGTAAAAGGGAAATAACACTCAAAGAAAGATGAGCATATATGTCGGTGAACATTAAAGATATGTTTGTTTTATCTTTAACGGAAGTATATCCCCCTGACACATCTACTGGATCCAGAACAACGAGGCCAGATCCAGCTTCCACAGTCAAATCCTTGAGGAGACCTCTTATCCATCTATCATCTTCTTTTGATGCATACCTATAGGAAACGCAAACGCAAGATATGTAAGTTAATTTATTGCTGCAACCAAAAAAAAAAAATAGTAAAAAATGTACTGACTAATCTATAGGTGATTAGGGAAGTGGGTAGATCTCTGAAAAAGACCACCCGCTGAGTATCACGGCAAACAAAGAGATCCATACATACTATCTGGTCACAAGACCTATAAAATGAAATCGAGAATGACAAATAAAACAAGGAAAAGTTGATGCTCACATGAAGCTAAAATCCGTTTTTGCACGTAAAAGCTTTTCACCATGGGTAGAATCATCCAGGAATGACTTACTACTGTCATAGAAAGTGAACTCAGGAGAAACAACCTAATAATAGAGAAATGAAACAAGTCAGGGTACAAATTGTGGTGCAGCGTGTTCAGCCATTTATATGGACAAAAGTGAACAGGATTCAAATAATTCCAAACTGTAGACACCAATTTACTTGCTATGACCTTAATGTTGTATTATGATTCACTAAAAGTACGTTTTAAAGAAGGGTACAGATAATTACGGTTTCAATAATGTTCAATCCCAAACACAGCCATTGTTCTCAAAAGAAAGAAATAAGGAAATACATGCCACACTAATATTAAATGTGTTGTCTTGTGCCAAAGGTTTCGTAAAAATGACGAAATGAAAAATTTGACATTCTTCATTTTATTTAGATGGAACTTGAAAGCCATACTTCGGCTATCTGAGACAAGCATAACATTGCGAACAGTTCAAAGAGAGTAAACCGTCAGAGTAATTAAGAGAATAACAACATAAGCAACTGAACAAAATATAAAGAGAATGAACTAAAAAAAACATGTATCAATAGATTAAGTAATTTACCTGGGCTTCAAAACTGAAACTTGGTGTTTTACTTAATTCGCAGTGAACTGTATCGGAAGCATGTAAAGTTTGTGAAACCTCCAAGTAATCTGAGTCTTCATGATTCTTATTCACAGAATTATCATCCAGAAAAGAAAATTCAACACCATCTTCTGGAGAAACTGAATAACTGCTATCATTGCTCAAGTATGTGTATTTCCTCAAAAGCAAGCCTTTCTGAAAAACAAGCAATTATTAAAAGCAATCAACCATAGATCAGGCAAAGATTCAATATGTATTCCAAGCCTACATATAAGTAAAGGACTTCAGCCAAAGCAAACATAAATGGATGTTCAAATCAATAGACTAGCATACTAACCAAATGAAAAAATAATTATGGAAGTTGACAAAAATAAAAGCTGACATACTGAAAGATCATACAAAAACTTCTAAAACTACAACTTCGAGGACCTAAAAGCTAAAAATTGAAATCAATCCCATATCCTGGAAAATTTGAAATTACAATAACCCACTAGCACTATAAAGATTACTGTTTCAGCCACTCAGAGAAATGCTCATATTTTATCAAAGCAAACTTCCAGTTGTGAAGAATCAGCCTAAACAAAATATATTGTAACCATAAGCGTTGCATATTTTTATAATATGGAACTCCAATGTTAAATGCAATCTCCTTCTAATTTATTTGTTAATTTAGTTTAATTTGGCTGGTTTCGCTGGTTCCCTATCCTAAAATTAAGGTGAAATCGAGCATATATTCATGACTGTTCCCATCACCCTTTTATTCTCTACCATTGAAGACAATGTTGTCAGTAAAAAAACTAAACCAGCACATCTAAAACCTTCTCTCCAGATAACCCAACATATAAAAGATAAAACTAATAGAACTAATTATAGAAGAACTTTTTAGTCATTATGCGTTGCTCTCAAGGGCAATGGAAAAGCAGGGGCAGGCTTTGTTACAGATTTAATCCCGATGCATCTCCAAACAGTCACAATGTGATGCCGGTGATACAGAAAATTTCTGCAGCAAAAGCCCAATAAGGCACTGCAACCAAAGGTTAGGAAAGCACAAGAGATGGTTTTGAAGATTTGATTGCAATGGAACACGAAAAGGCAAAAATTCAGTGATGGAATATTATAATCTGTTGAGTGAAGTACAGAATTGTTCTCCTAAATGACGTATATTACAGTAGGCCACGAAGTAGAGTTTGCTCGGATGCGCATGCAGGTGCAGGTAAGTTAGTACCAGGCTGAAAAAAGAATGGGATGTAGTTCTGTCCAGGTTGTTAGAGCCCAAGTATTAGCCAAACCGAAGAAGTCCTAGTGTAAGAACAAAATGAATAAAGACAGGGTGGGACATAACAAACACATCATCAGGGTGAGAGACACGATCTTCTGCATAGCTACTTGTCAGAAAATTTATCTTGAATTTTCTCATTTCCAGTTCTTCAATTATATGGTATGTATATTTTAAAATTGTTTCTTATCTTGCTTTAGTCAACACTCGGAGTAGCTTCCTAAAACACTTAGAGATCGTCCACAATTTGTATTTTGTAATCCTCTTTCGGAAAATTAAAAAAAAAAAAAAAAAAAATCAACAGACCTTTTTCATGTGAAATCAAAATATTAACAAAAATCTGATAAGATGTGCATAACAAGCATATAGAGAAAGTAGTAATACCTCAAATGTTACATTTATGAACCTCAGCCTCTTACACCGCCCTATGATGATTATGGGCCGGACGACAGATGAATGCAGCTCTTTTTCTCCCTCTTTAACAAGACGTATTGTCTTGCCACAGCCATCATATATGTAATCATCAATCCCAATAGCATCAGCTATAAGTTGCCGATATGGAGAAAACTCCATCACATCTTCTGTTTGTTTATATAGAGGGGCAGATAGAACAATGCTGTTACTCTTGGAAATAGGATCGTTCTTAGGGTCCATCATTTCGTCCCTGCCAGTTATCCCCAAGGATGGCACAAAAAACTCACAGATAGCCAGAAGAAAATCAGGAACAACAAGAATACGAGGCTGCTGCACCCGAACTACAAATGACTGTGATGAAAGGCGCCATCTTCCATCCATTAAAAACATCGTTGAGTTTGGTAAATCAACAATTCGGTCAACAGACATCTGCTTTGGGACATCAGTGGACGAGCCAAGCATCAGCTTCATTTCAGACTTCGTGTTTGGACGGATGTCTAAAATAGAGAACTTAGGTATAGTAATATATAAGTCCGCTTCTGATAAAGATGTCGTTCGGTATGACACCCAGAGACCTTCAAGCTGCATGACGATCAAATCAGATACTACTAAAATATTTACATTTGATAAAAATACGGATATGAGTAGTATCGGCACAACCACAAATTGAACTCACAATAACATTAGCCAAAAGTGACTCCTTATCAGTTCCATAGCACAGCTCTAGCGATGCATAGCCAACCTCCACAGCTATGATAGTTACAGTACGCGACAAAAGGACCTGGCTATTCATGTTCACTTTGTCAACAAGCAATTTTATTGTATCCTTGGCAGAAGAATTACTGCTGCGAAAGCTAGGAGGGAGAGACGGCTCTTCACACAAATTCATGTAGAAACAATTAAGAATAACATTATATTCCTTGTCTGACATCACAGCATGCAGCGACCCCACCTGTTCCACAAGAAATGGATGATGATACCAGCAGTAAATATATAATGATTCAAATATTTCACGCTGAATACAATATTCTATGGTTTTAAGACAATTGCAAACCTTTGGCAAAATCTTTTCTTAGTCGTTCTCAACCTTTCCTGGGTTCAGAAAGAATATCAATTCTCTTAACCTCTATAATTTAAACACAGAATTAAAATGAAACCTAAAACTACACAGTTTCATGGCACATTCTCTAGACTACATTGTGATCCAGGCAGTACAGATATATTCAACAGTACGGATCATCTCTTAAAACCAACAGCTCATACGGCTTATGCAGTAGCATGTGCAGCATGTGAAGCACTGCAGTTAAAATTGGAAGTAATTTTGCTCTTGCCACCTACCTTGGAAAACATGAGAATATATTAACATCCTCAAGCATACAACACAACAGCTATCTACATGGAGGAAGACTAGAAATCAGCAAACCAAAAATCAGAAGATCAACTTCTATGTCTATCACTAAAGGCACTTCTAAGTGACCATATTGTCTGAAGCCTAGTTAATTCCACAAAATCCGTCAAACTGAACAGAAGTAAGCTCGAGAGCAGACAGCCCTCAGACAATCTTTTGCAGTGAAGAATTGCAAATTGGAGAGCAACTCAACGCCGACAAAATCTTGTAACTAATAAAACTTCTAATTAGTCAAGTAACGAAAGCCGAGTGCCAACAAAGAAGCAGAACATGTAATAAGTAATAACAAAAAATTTACTTTGACTTCCAAACAAAAAGTTGGGACTTTGCGAAACACATCTCTTAAACTGCGGCGAATAATAACATGGACTTCTCTTCCTTCCCGAATCATAGGCTTGCCAATGGAAGCATTAATTCCAACAGCCATATTGATTCCCAAAAGCTGTATTTATGTAGACAGTATCAGAGTATGACATATTTTTTAGATAAATCGTCAAAACTATGAATGGAAATAACAACCTCCGCATCAAGAACATCAAGATGTACAGAAGAATGATCTTTTTCTGGACCATGCCAACTGAATGAGTTTTGGATCCGTAGATGGCCAAGATCAAGTTGCATGAAGCTGGAAGCAACATTTCCACCCAAAGAAAAAGAGAATTAAAGAATACTAAAAAAATGGATAAAGAGATAGTATGCATAAATAGATTTTGAAAGTGTAGGAAAAACATGTCAGAGTTAGATGGATCCAACATAAAGTAAGCATTCTTCAGATTCACCAAAGTACAAGAATGATCTAAATGATAGCCATATGGTCCTTGCTTCAAGGAAGACAAGAAAGTCTTTTCAACAGATCACTCAGTATTCAGTAATAAAATTGACAAAAATCTGAACCATACAAATTTATGCTACAGGTAAAGAAGAAATGAAAACAATAGTGACCAACACTTAATCATGCATCTCTACGGAAGAGGGGAACCACATTCAAGAACTCAGGCACTTTAAATAATATAGTTGTTTTCATATATTGATACTGGAACAGTCAAACCATGAAAAAGGCCATCCTTGAACATGAATGTAATAAGAACTATTACTCTATAAATCAAGATTAGGCAGAAAGATGAGTCCTTATGGGCCTATGGTTCATAAAATGGTTACAAAAATAAGAATCGCTATGTATCTAGATAAGTACTACTGACAACACAAAAATTCAAGAGACTACATGAGTTATCAGCAATCCCGCTAGATAAGAAGCATCAATAGAGCTTGACTAATAGTTTTATGAAAACAACTACATGAGTCATACATCCAACTTCTTTCTGTTAAATGCATGTGCGTCCGTAACAAAATGTAAAAATGGAAACTTACTCTTTGCTCAGAGAATTTTGGGGGACAACTATCATGGGATTATCCAGTGAAAGGTCCAGTTTTACAGCAGATGCTCCATCAACCTCATATTTCTGAATTAGCCATTCTATTCCTCCGACTTTATCAACAAGTTCTATTGCTTCTTCAGTATGCGGAGTGGCAAGTCCCACAAAATAAGCAGTTATCTGCAGCACATTTACCAAATCTATTAGAATTTTGGATACAAAACACTTGGGAGATAAACAAATTATCCATTTTTCCCCTTGGTTGTGTTTTATAGACAAGCAAGATATCGGAAATAACTCCCATATATCAAGTATTCTCAGACAGTTCCTTGTAAAATAGGGCAAAACCACATTCTGGAAAGCTGGCTTACCCTACCATAATGTTTTATTTCTAAATTAAGTAACATCAAGACATTGGTTATAAGGACTAGAATACATTTGCAGTAAAAAATAAGTAAAAGATAGCATGATTATAACAATGCAGGATCTGGTGAAGCTTCAGACAAGCAAAAGGAGCTACCATAAAGGTCTTATGGTTTTACATGTATGAAATCTTCTACTATCATAGCAATTGGAATCTTAGTAGAAAAAATTAGAAAGTTCAAATATATAAAAGTGACTACTTCTATCTTGTATACAATAGCAATTAGCCCAAGTACTTCCCAAAATATTCAATTTTTGAAATAAGCATTGAATGACCTAGCCATACTTTTAGGGTCATTACACTGGCATCCAGTTATTATTCTTTCCCAATCATCATTCCGCCCCATTTACGATTGCATAAGCAAGTTGAACAACACAAGTATTCCAGGATATCTAATTTTTGAAGGTGTTCAGACCACCAGGGTACTTATAGGGAAATTGCACGAAAGAAATTTCTGTTTTCTCTTCCTTAGGCAGACAATTTGTTCTAGGTAAGCATTTAAACCTCTTTATCTGCTAAATCATAAAAAAAAATAAAAATAAAAAAATAAAAAAAAAAAGCAACAGCTGAGGGTTGGAATTTAACTAGACCCAGATTAAGCAAAAATATAAGCATGAGCTTCTTAATAAAATAATGAAGCACGCAGTGCATTTCAAATATACATCCATGCTCTTGATGAATAAACATCAAAGCAAAAACGTAAATGTCAAAAGCAACAAAGTTAGGTCCATAAAGTGTGAACCCAAAAGTATAAAAAAGATATGAATACCTCCTGGACAAATCTGTACAGAAAAACAATACGGACGGCAGAAAGGCGGCCACTCAAACTGTAATCATATCCTTCGTAATCGTCGTCTCCGATGCTATAAGACTTAAACGAAAACTGGAAAGAAACCAAAGATTGAAAAGAGAGAGGAATTAACATTAGTTGGAAACTGGAGGCAAACAGTTACACTAATATATACCTGTATAAGGGATTCTGCTTCTTGGTTTCGCAAATCACAAAGCCAACCCCAGCAGTGATTAGACCCAAGTGACAGATCACATAGCCTGAAGTTCCCCAAAGTCCCGTCTATAGATGTTGAACTTGGATGAACCTTATTTAATGCAAGAATTTCTTATGATAATTAATCGTGATGCAGCAAAAGATTTGCAAAGCAGCATATAACGAGGATAAATAATGCCGGACTACACTATATACAAATATACATACACCAATTGGGTCTCTTAACATATGAACAAATAGAAAAAAATTGTAATACCTTGATATCCAAATGGAAACTTTCTTGCACAAACATGGCAAGTTGAGAATCGTCCTCCTTATTGAGAAACATAGTCACACTGTCAACATTCATGTGCAAATTAAAAACTACTCGTCCTTTCCCAGATCCCAATAGTCCCTTAATGGATGATGCATGTCCATATTCTTCTATCTTGTCTTTGTTTGCAGCAGACTCATCATCAGTATTCTCCACATATGAACCACTAACCACACCATTTGCTGAGCTCAGATCAAAACCAAAATTGATCAAAGCAACAACAGTTGGCCGGTTGCAATAAAATTCCAACTTGGACATCCGAATACTCATCTGAAAAGTATAAAACATCATTCAGAAACAAAACTAAAGAGGATGAATATTTCAAGGCCCTCGCTCAAAAGGTCGAGGATGGGGTAATAAAAGACTAAGTGTCGATCAAACAATAGTGTACTTCAATCATCCGATCGCAAACAAAGATTTTCGCATCTTTTGTAGAAGGATGGTAACTAACTCAATCTTTAGGACAGTTGGATGCAAAATATATATTAAATCTTAAGAAAGTTGTGGCTGTTGATCTTCATCGTTTAGTAAGCTGCAACTGATTGTGGCAGCAGCAGGAATCTAGCTGCTGGGGTAAAATCTTGAATAAAGAAAAAAAAAAAAAAAAGTGAATAAAGAGGATACAAGTAAAGAGAAGCGAAAGAAAATGATGATTTGAGGTGCCAACTTTAACGCCTTATTTTTGCTATAAAAGGTGACATTTTGATTCGGGTTCTCGAGATACGAACGCAATGATGCAAGGATTGGCAGTGCTGGTCATGGAGCATTAAGAACACAAAAGGGAGAAAGAGAGACAACGGGAAAAAGAAAAGAAACATGAAATGTGGAGGCCGGGG